GGAAAGCATGCTCTTTTCCCAGCTCTCGGGTGCTGATGGACACATGCATGCCTTCCATGTGGTTTCTGAGCCCCTCTAAGCTGGATCTCTCTGGCCAGGCTGTAGTGAGCCGCATCCCCCAGCCAGCTTTCCTTGCTGACAGTCGCCTCTCCTTCCAGCACCTTCGTCATCTCCGTCTCCTTTTGAAGACTCTTTTTTTCAACTCTCTCTTTTTCAAAAGACTGCTTTGTCACAATTATTCAGAAAAAGGTTTTGCGCCTGTAGGAAATATTAATAGACTATTATGAGGTCCTACAACTAATTTTTCCACACATATCATCTGTCTTTGCATGGTTATTAAACTTCAACAATATTTCATGCAATGCTTCCCTGCTAAATTAATTTGGGCCCTTCTTTTCTGGCTTCTTCTTTTCTGTCCACAAGCTTTAAAATTAAATTGAATCTTCATAATTATAGCTTTTTGTTGTTCTTCTGCGTATCTTTTTTCTTTTTTTCAATTTCTCTATCAAAGGAGCAATAAAGACATAAAGAAGCAACATTAGAATCCTGAAATGCCCAAGTGGTCTGGAATTGGGTGGGTTTGAGTTTGGGAATCTTTTAAATAGAAGGGGGGGGCAGTGAAGACATTCAGACCTGGGATAGAGATAAATTGGCCTTGATTTATCTCAGGGCGGTGGAAACAAATGAGAATTGTCCTTACAGTCATGAAACTCTCATGGTTACTGGAGTTTCTTATTTGTGTCAAGTAATAATCTCATTTTTTTAAAAAAAGTAAATACTCTGTCTTTTTCTACATACCTGCACACACACACGCATGCGCACACACACACACACACACACACACACACACACACATATGCACGTACACATGCGTGTGCACAGGCACACTCACACAAACGTACACTTCCACTTGTGGCTAAATTTTCCTAAAATCACAGACAGTTTTTAAATCTTCAATAGACCTTTCCCTTGGGTGTCTAAGAATCTTCATTGTTCTGCTATGTAACTTGAAATTGGGGGACAAACCCTAAGACTTTTTGTGCTGGGTGTTGACATGGCCAGGTACCAACCAAAGGAATCCTAGGGATTAGAACCAGTGAGGGGGCTGTGTTGCGAGCTCTGAGGTAAAAGGCAAGTAAAAGCCTACTAGGGAAGGTGGGAGCACAAGCCAGCACCAGAGCCCTTCACGCCTCGTGTCTCCTTTTCCATTTTGCTTCCCATCTAGGCTCTTTGTTTCACTATCTTTACAGCAGAAGAGAGGACCTGGCCACACTGCTAGGCCATCTAGGTCTATCTGATGACCCCTGCTCCCCTGTGAGAGGGATCCCCACAGTTACAGTCCATAGGAACTCAGGAAGTGACCAGTGGTTAAGAACACTGCTCTTGCCCAGGACTCAGGTTCCATTTCCAGCACCTGCCTGGTGGCTTATGGCCGTCTGTCTGTTACTCCAGTCTCAGAAAACCCACTGCTGTCTTCTGGTCTCAGCAAGAACACGTGTGGAGTGCAGACCTATAAGCAGGAAAAACACTCATGCACATTCAATAGATAAATAAGTGAATAAGAAATAAATGAATGCATAGGTCCAGTTGTTAAATAAAAATATATAAAAATAAATAAGTAAGAAGATGATTAGTGACTCTGACTAGACTGACGTCAGTTCCAAGCTGGGCAGAGCCAGCCATTCTCTTGCGTCCATCCTATCAGTTCCTACTAGGAACAATTGTAACATGAGGGTCTTCTTTGTCGGGGAAGATGCAGGAGAGGCTTGGTGCTGCCTTCTCTTTCCATTTTCCCAGCCCAACCTCTACTTTCTCCCATTAAATTTCACAAGAGAGCGTGGTAGTGAGCAGAACTGGTGCTGGGGTAGCCATTGACACAGAGGCTCTTTCCACGCATCAAATCATACACAGCAGATGCTTTCCCAATGCATCTAGCGTACCTCAGTGAAGATGTTTTACCAAAGGTGCTGTGACTCATATTGACACCGCTCCCTTGTGTACCCTGTAGCAAGGGCAGAAAGTCAGGGCAGGGTTTCAGTGTTCTTCAGCCCCTGCCGTAATGTCAAAATATACCCAGACTCTTTACTCCATGAAAGAAAGGTCACATGCCCACATGGAGTAGATTGTTAGAGCTGGACAGGAATAAATGGGGGGGGGCTCAGATGGAGAATAGAACCATTGTCCTGTTCACATTTCACTGTGATGGACTGTTTTATCCATGTGATGAATCAGGTTAAGAGCAAGCGATACAGCGATACTCTGAATAAGGATTGATGACGCTCAAAATAGGATAATCAAATATTGAATGAACTAACATTTCATCCACTATGAAACTGAATTCAAATAAAGATTTTTAAAAAGTTTTCCATACTTGTGGAGCAGGAGTTAACTTTTCAGATCACAGAAAAAGAACTGAGGGATGACCCAGCCCGTTATTCCCATACAAGAAGTAGGATCCCAGTGGCGTTGGCTGGAAATCAGATATCAAGTCTGAATCCCACCATACACTACTCTTCCGAACCCCACCAAACACTGCTGCCCCGAACCCCATCAAACACTGCTGTCCTACAATGTCACTCATTTTCATGAGGTCTTCTCACTTAAGTTTCAATCATAACACTATTTCGTTTCGAAACCTATGAAATTCCTCATTACTAATTCAACCTTAGTGATTCCATACTAGTAAAACACCAGTTAATGAAAACTATAACAGCACACTTGCTAAAGCAGTGAGACACTTTTTTTAAAAAGGAAGTTAGTTCTGAACAATTAATTGTAACACGAGGTTCTTCTTTGTAATGTTGTTTTCTCAAGAGAACTCAGAAAAGCTTCAAATTAGCTTCAGTTAGCTTATTTCCTATGCGTGTGAATGAGACATGGCTGTAGTTGTCTTTGTTTCATCAATGAACAAACTAATTCTTAAAGCAGTTTGACTATTCCCGTGGTGATGTCCACTCTGCGGATAGGAGCGGGCCATCTAGAAACCAGTCTCTACAGCTTCATTAGTCCAGTGAGGGCCATGGAACAGCCATAAAGTAGTGTGGTCTGGGTGATTGATCCTCAGATCCAAGAAGACCCGGGACCATCTGATTGGTTGCACTTTACAGTGGGAAGCCAGAGGTCTAGGCGTGAGTATTGAACAGAAAAACGAAGGGTTAGTGCAGTGACAAATCAGTAGAGGACATCAATTACCAAGAAGTTGTTAACCCACCTTCCACCTAAATCGGCTTGTTTAAAAATTTAATCATTTTGGTGTGATGGACCAGAATTGTGTGCTTCTGGCTTGTGTGGGAGCTTACCCAGGAAGAGATCCTAGGCCCTACCCCTACAAAGATCCTGCCCCCCAAAGCAAACCAGAAGCCAGATGGATAGAGGCAACCATGTGCTAGGGCAAAGTAACAATATAATAACTACCATCTATTGAGTCTCTTGACTAAATTATTTAATTTAACAAAGACATGGATCAGTGTGGGGAAAAGAGATAAGAGAACACATGTTCTGTCATTCATTAATTCATTTAGAAGCCGTTCATAGACTGCTACTCCCCTCCCATCACTGCAGTGAGTATTGAAGATGCACAAATAAATAAGGCAAAGCTGATGTTCAGCAGCAAAATGTGCTGTCAATCAAAAAATGCAAAGCCAGCTTAGACATTAGGCAACGTATAATTCTGATGGAGACTCCAGGAAGGGGGTTAACTTGTGCAGAAATGCAGCCAGCTTCATAGAATTTGGGAGTATCAGAGAGGCCTAGTGCTCTGTGAAATGAAGCAGTTGCCAACAGCTCTCTGGTGAAGATCGGCACCTGCCAATGGCTCTCTGGTATCACAGGGGAATCTGGAGGCTGGGTAAGAAAAGAGGCCAAGTTACAGTTTGAGTCTGAAATGTTCCCAGCAGGCTTGTGTTTTGTGTGCTTGGTCCCAGCTGATGGCAGTATTTGGGGAGATACTGGAAACTCAGGAAGCAGAGCTTATTTTGAGGAAGGAGATCACGGGAGGGGTATTAGAGGCATGGTATTCCTGGCTGCTTCCAGTTTTATTTCCTGATTCCTGGTTCACTGTGATGTGAACAGTCTCTGCCACAATGGACATACCCACCTTCCACACCAGGAAGGACTGAAACCCTCTGAAACCAGGAGACAAATAACTGCTTTCTGCCTCTAGTGGCTTTGGAAGGTATAGCGGTCACAGTGATATAGAAACAACAAATACAAGGCAGTCGTAGGGAAAGAAAATTTAAGAAGTCCTCACAGCGTGGCAAGTAGCTCCCTCCCTCTCTCCCCCCATTTGTCTTCCTGACTGATTGGACTTCCACCACCTCCCCTCGTCCCGTCTCCTTTCCTGCCACTCTCCTCCATGCCTGAGCTGAGAGTCTCTGAGGCTCCACTTTGGTAGTAAGAAAAGCCAGTATTTGTAAAGTCCTTACACGGTGTTGTGTGCCCCTCTAAGTTCCTACAGATGGATAAAATCATCTGAGTACCCCAACGAGGCAGACAGCATCTTTACCACCATACCACACACAGGATAACTGAGACCCAGGGATGCGGCTTTTCTCAAGGCACAAACAAGTGAAGAGAAGAGATGAGTCGACAGGCGTCACAAATACATAACCTGGTTTGTTTTCAACTAGATCTAAATGCTTGCCTGTAGTCTGGCTGCAGCCTCCAGCCCTCCCTCCAGTAACATTCGCCTCCCTGCAAGGCAAACTGAATTCCTTAACAACTTTTAATGCAGCCCTTAGCTCCTACTTCTCTGCCTTGGCTTCTCTTTCTTCCACCTAGAATGTTTCCTCCTTTACATTGCCAGCTCTTAACACTTAACAGCCCCTGAAACACCACACTCTCTGTGTAGGCTGCCTTGACTCCTGAGTTGTGAAGAGGCTCTTCTCCCCCTGAATCCTCTCGATAGCCTAAATTCACCATGTTTTATGGCACGTAAGGTAGACCTGCTATCTTACCGTCTGTTCTGTAAGCTTCACGCTGTCCTGTCTTTCTTGTTGTAGCCTCCACGGAAGCGACCTGAACAGGGTCCTACCACTTCCCCTGCCGGCATTCTCATCTGGTCAGTACATGGACACACTGGTACTCAGGGCTAACAAGCAGGGTGTCCAGATGGCCTGGGTTATTGCTGAATATTTATGACTATCCCGGTACCAGTCCCTTCTCTAGTCAGCGCAATGTGGCCCTGTGTTTAAAAGAGCTTTGGACATACTGGTTTAGAGAGTCGTCTACTTGCTGATTTGTGACCCTGAGCAAGCATGCCTGGGGATTTGCTTCTTCAGGGTAGTCGGCCCTCACTCATGCGAGGGTTTTTAGGACTGAATGATTAATCATGTAAAGACTCACTTGAGTTTCAAAAATAGTGTGCGGTAGGGTACCCACTGGTCTAGCAGCTCTCTTTCCAAGTATTAATTGTTTTTGTTCATAAATCTGCTTTATAACAGTTGTGCTTAATAATGTCACCACGCAATTGAATTAAGAGTTACATAAACTGGTGAGGAGTGTGAAAAGAGGAATTGTTGTCTCTTTGAACATTAAATTGAATGCTTTTGATTTGCTAAAGGTGAGTCGCTGAAAAAAAGCTGTTGAATTGGATGTTAGTAGAATCATTCAAAAAAGACTGGAGTAAAACCATAAGCATCTAAAACATTTCTGTAGATTACCTTAAAAGCCACTTCCAGTAACCCAGACCAGAGAAGACAAATAGTGCATGTTTTCTTTCATGTGTGGCTACTAGCTTTGAATCTTTAGATACACGTGTTTCACTCCGAATACCCATAAAGTTAGAAAAACAATGAGAGGCCATCAGGAGGGGTCATTAGGAGGAGGGGAGATAGGGTGCATTGATATAAAAGGAGGGAAAGGAATTATGGAACAGGAAGGATTAAGTGAAGAGGGGGATGGGAGGACAGACTATGATGAGAGATAACTAAGATAAAGACCTTATGAAAAGCCATATGGGAACCTACCATTGTAGTCACTTTCTAAAATATACACAGATGTGCTCCTCCCTGTTCTAGAGACAACCACTTTTTTCATGCAATTTGGCCGTATTGGACGCCTGGTTACCAGGGCTGCCTTCACTTCTGGCAAAGTGGACGTTGTTGCCATCAATGACCCCTTCATCGACCTCAACTACATGATCTACATGTTCCAGTATGACTCCACCCACGGCAAGTTAAAAGACACAGTTAAGGCTGAGAATGTGAAGCTTGTCATCAACAGGAAGGCCATCACCATCTTCCAGGAACAAGATCCCGCCAACATCAAATGGGGTGATGCTGGCACCGAGTATGTTGTGGAGTCGACTGGTGTTTTCACCACCGTGGAGAAGGCTGGGGCCCACTTGAAGGGTGAGGCCAAAAGGATCATCATCTCTGCCCCTTCTGCGGATGCCCCCATGTTTGTGATGGGTGTGAACCATGACAAGTATGACAATTCCTTCAAGATTGTCAGCAATGCTTCCTGTACCACCAACTGCTTAGCTCCCTTGGCCAAGGTCATCCATGACAACTTTGGCATTGTGGAAGGACTCATGACCACAGTCCATGCCATCACGGCCACCCAGAAGACTGTGGATGGCCCCTCTGGGAAGTTGTGGCAAGACGGCCGCGGCACTGCCCAGAACATCATTCCTGCATCCACTGACGCTGCCAAGGCTGTGGGCAGTCATCCCAGAGTTGAACAGGAAACTCACCGCATGGCCTTCCGTGTTCCTACCCCCAACGTGTCCGTCGTGGATCTGACATGCTGCCTGGAGAAAGCTGCCAAGTATGACGACATCAAGAAGGTGGTGAAGCAGGCATCCGAGGGCCCACTAAAGGGCATCCTGGGCTACACTGAGGACCAGGTTGTTTCCTGCGACTTTAACAGTGACTCCCACTCTTCCATCTTTGGTGCTGGGGTTGGCATTGCTCTCAATGACAACTTCGTAAAGCTCATTTCCTGGTACGACAATGAGTTGGGCTACAGCAACAGAGTGGTGGACCTCATGGCCTACATGGCTTCCAATGAGTAATAAGCCTGGCCTGGACCACCCACTCCAGCAAGGACACAGCAAAGAGAGAGGCCCTCGGCTGCTAAGCAGTCCCTGTCCTAACTCAACCCATGACACTGAACGTCTCCCTCACAGTTTCCATCCCAGACCCCCAGATAGCAGGAGGGGCTTAGGGAGCCCTACTCTCTTGAACACCATCAATAAAGCTCACTGCATCCCCTCTTAAAAAAATAAAATAAAATATACACAGATATAGAAAGAGTTTAAATGGGGTTACCCTATAATGGTGGGAAAATACCCTAGACACCACATGCTAGCAAATAATAACCCCACTTCCAGGAATGGGCCGCATCTTTTTGAGTTGTTAGCCAGAGAGGTACCACAGACCTTCAAACATTACAGTACATTGTCGGTGATCTTGGTTACCATCTGTGCTGTTCGGATATTTTTAATTTGATATAAACTTAGACATATTTGAGATAAGGAACCCCAAGCGAGGAAATGCCTCCATCCAGATTGTCTATAGCCTGGACAAGCCTACAGAGTGTTTTCTTGATTAATATCAATTAATTAATTGATATGAATGGGACCAGCCCATGGGAGATGGTGCCACTCCTGGGCACATGGTCTTGGGGTGTATAAAGGAACAGGCTGAGCAAGCCGTGAGGGGAAAATCCAGTGAGTGGCATTATTCCTTGGCCTCTGCTTCAGTTCCTGCCTACAGATTCCTGCTTCAGTTCCTGCCTACAGGTTCCTTCTTCAGTTCCTGCCCTAACTCCCCTCAGTGATAGACTGTGGCTTGAGAGTTGTAAGTTGAAATAAGCTATTTTCTCTACAACTTGCCTTTGGTCCTGGTGTTTTAGCATAGTTATAGATACCCTAACTAAGACACATCCCAAAAATTGATAGTAAGACCGTACTGCTGAAGATACATAATACTGAGTCATAAAGCATGGAGAAAGCAAGGTGGTGCAGACTTTGAAGCTTCATTCCTACTGCTTAGCTTTCATAGTGCTGGAAGGTGCTGTGCAGGCTGCTGGAAGGAGAAAAGTAGTCATCAGTCTCACCCATCTTCAGACCCTGTGTGCTGCAGTAGCAAGCATCCTGGCAAGATGTGCCCACTGCTGCAGAAGCGGCATGAATATGATGGGAGCAATCAAGCTTGGATTTAAGCATCTTCATGAGCTAAAATCCATTCTTGGTACTGTTATTTGGAATAGGTATGCCATAGGCACTTAGGGGGAAACCTACTACAATTATGCTGCTAAATGGACATACTATTAAAAGAACTCATAGTGACTTGTGTCTATACCCGTAGATAGTGAGTCTCTCGATCCTCAGCAGAAAAGCTTCTTCTTCAAGAGTGTGGCACAACTGGAAAGGCACAAGAATACGGGACTGTGTAATAATCACCCACAAATGGGACATTGAACCAGTCCCCAGCGCAGCCTTCCTAAGCTCAGGGATCATTGTGGAAGAGGAGATGGATGACTACAAGGACCGTTTTCCAGGAACAAGTGGGTGGGTACACATATAAACTTGCAGCGATTGTGACTGCATGCAGAGGACCTGAACAAACTCAAGCTAGGCAAAAATCCCAGTATGGAGAGGAGGAGGTGGGCACAAAGTCCCACCCCTACCTGAGAAGCAACGGGTATTTGATAGCTGCCGGGAGAGGGAAAGTCAGTTTTCTTTATGGATATGAGCCCCAGTAAGTAGTGACCACACGCTAGGACAAATCCCACATTTATGGGTATTTGGATAGCACAAATTGGATTTTATGGGCTAAAAGAAAAAAGAGAACATGAAGTTGAGTGGGTATCAATGTGGGGGTGAATCTGGAAGGCATTGGGGGAGAAGGACATGATCAAAGGGCGTTGTATGAAATTCTCAAAGAATAAAATGAACTCTTGAAATGTTATAGTTTTCATGGGCTTCTCGGTAACTCCTGTCTCCTATCTGTAGAGTGTTAGATATAAGAAACACTTTGATAACTACTTTACTTAATGAGTAAACAAAGAAAGCATGGCCCCAGAGTAGATGCAGAAAGGGCCATTGGCCCTCGTTTTCTCCTGGTCTCACCTCGTCTGATACAGACTGAGAATCCCCACCTGTCCATCTGAGAACTGCTCTTTGTGACGGCAGGAATGACTCTGCAGAGACACAGGATCCGTCAGCGTTGAATGCGGGAGAGTTCATTCTTCAGAAACCAACTCTTCTCTCAGTAATAGATGGTGGCTTCATGAATAAGTAGCCTGATTTCCTTGCTGTACCACTGAAGTATTGCTGAGGCATGTTCTAGAGTTTTCTAGCATCCTCCAGTTGCTCGCAGTGGAAAAATTGAATAATGTTGGATAATGTAGTCTTTCCCATCTGTCTGGCCTTCCATGCCTCAATCTCTGCCCAAGTGAACCACTCATCTTGTCTCAAGGTGACCCTTTGGCAGAATGTGGATTAAGGCATCACCTTAGTTCGTGTGTGCTACCCCAACAAAATACTTGAGGTTGGTCAATTTAGGAGGGTAATGTCTTCCCTAATAATTCTGGAGGCTGGGGTCATGATGAATAGGGTAGCAGGTTGGACATCTGTCCTCAGTCTCTGTCTAGGATGGTGCCTTGAGACTGGTGTCCTCTTATGGCGGAAGGGAAAGTGTAAACAACCAGGCTAGTTTCCACAGGCCCGTTCTTAAGGCATTAATCTACCCAAAAGGGCAGTGCCATCATTAATCATTCCTCTGAAGATCTGATTTTTTAACACTAGAATAGTGGAGATTAAGCTTTAATATAAATTTTGGAAAGACACAGTCAGAGTGTAGCAGATACAGACCCAAGCCTAGGGCTAAGACAACGCATTTCCCATAGAAGTCATGTAAGAAAAGATGCACAAAGCAATACTAGCAAAGAGCTTAAGTTTATTCAGACCAAGTAAATAAAAATATTTCATCTAATTGAGGTTACAACAAGATATTTAGACTTTGAAGTCATCACAATGTCACCATTTTAACCGTTATAAGACCAGTTTCTACTTACCAGAATAGATACTTTTAGAACTTTATAGCTAAATATTTTCCTTATATTTGTATATTTTTTTGAGAAATTTGAGCTATGAAAATCAAGCTTTAGTTCAGGCCAAAGTCAGTGAGGGGCACTTTCTTTTTCTCTTTCTTTCTGCCTTAAGAGGGGGCTATTCTCTTGAGAGTCTTCACAGGTCCATCTCAGCATCATAGTGACTCAGAAGCAGTACAGTTGTAGCATCTGGCTAAGACTCCCAAGCTACTGAGGATGGACCACGTATCTACAGGCCCTAAACCTTTTCTGAGCTTCAGTAACCTCTTCTCATGAAGTTTCCCAAACCTTTAGTATGCATTAGAATGTCTGAGGGCCTCTCACTGCTTTGACAGCTTACCCCTATCTTATACTTAGCCGAGTTTAGACTGTATTCCAGGACCAGCATAAGGCATCACGCCAGACCTGATGAGGTCTGTAGATTCATGCAAGCAATAACAGCTGCCTGGGACGTTATCCAACACTCCATCAAACCTCAACAACTATTCTGGAATGGCTGTGTTGGCTGGGCCAGTCTATTGCAGCCAATCCTCCACCCCCCACCTGTGGTTAATCCCCCAGAGCCAATGATGAGCAGGCAACATCCGGGCTGGGCATGGAAAGGTGAGCAAACTATACTGCCAATTGCCAGTCCCGTTATTCTCACCCCCCTTGGGCAAATTTGGTTTCCTGGAATTAATTATTCAACAGGAGATGACAGCCGGTGTGTAGCAGTGCTGCTGGAAGAGAGAATAAAGAGGCACATTGGACACAGCAGCTGCGCCTCCCAGACCCTGAAATTTAAGATCTTTATAAATGATCTGTTAAAACTATAGTGACGATAAGCTTATGAATCATGATCTATATTAATCAGGGCTGCTGATATGGAAAGATTAATTGAAACGTGCAGTTCTACACAAATGATAAAGTGGTAACAATTTAATATCAGACAAGAAGAGTGAAGAAATTACACTCCAAGCTTCATGCATCATTACTATGGATATTAATATTTTACCCAGCGCAACAGCATCGGGAATCATAATGAAAATCCATAAGTGGTGCACAGACATGATTAAATACAACAGTCTTTAGGAGCTGTTTGGTGGCGGCAGTTGGGCCATATTTCACTCCGAGGCTGGTGATTCTGGTGATAGAGTCTAGACGAGGGTGATTAAAAATGGCTCCTCCTAAAGCCTGTTAACCTTTTACTACTAAAATGAATTTCTTTGATTTTTAAATTATGTTGTTCTCTTTGCTCTTTTCAAAACTGAACTTGATCTCAAACCTTGACAGGATGCTGGGCCCTGGGTACAGTGACAGTCATGATGAGATTTCTCAATTACAATCCTTTGCCTCAGGGGTGTGGCGATAGCTTGGATGTGCAGAATTGTGGGTCATTGTCTACCTTGAAACAGGGCTGGATGGATTGAGTAAGTCAGGGTCCCAAGGAAGTTCCCAATGGACCAGAAGTTGCTACCACTTCCTCAGCCAGCCGTATCAGGCTGGAGATGGAGATGACATTTCTGAGATACTGGTCTCATGACCTGGTTAATTCATTTACCAAGCAAACAAATATGTACACACACATGGGAGATGCAAAAATACACTCCAGTGAGCATATGTTCCAGGATGAAGAGGTGAGAATTCTAATCAATGCAATGGCTTCAAAAAATTAAGGTAGAGAGAGTTGAGAAGGGCATCTTTGCCAGACTGTTTTTAACCCTGTGAAATCTCATTAGTCAAGAGTCTGTCTTGACTGCTATTATCATCAGTTAAAACAAGGTCAGTGTGTATTTGCTATAATGAGATTCATCATCATATCTGGGGCAATAAGAAATTCAGTCTATCCCCTAGGGGACATTGAATCTTTTTGACGTGTTCTAGCTGTTTAGGTCTCTGTAGCTGTGATTTTCAAATTTTAATATGCACCAATATAGACTGGGGAGGAAGGGTGTTAGGGTTGGTTTTTGTCAACTT